CAGCCAACGCAGCCTTGCCCGCCGGAGGAGCTCACCGATGGGACCTTGCCCAGATCTTTCAAGGATTTGTGAGCTCCTCACACAATCCAGTCTGGTTAAACCCAGGATGGATCGTAGGCAGGCCAGCCTAAATGTTTCTAACCGGCGAAGATGTTCCATTAGGGGGGTCCACGTTTCGCAAGCGTAGAGAAGGGAGGGAATGACCGTGGCCGAGAAGACCTGAAGCTTAGTGCGGAGCGACAGACCAGGTAGCTTCCACACAGCGTTACGCAACCGATGAAAAGATATTGCCGCTCGACTGATTCGGAGTGAGACCTCTGCTGTTAAACTGGAGCCAGTCATAAGCACACTGCCCAGGTATGGGAAACTCTCCACTCTCTCCACAACTGCCCCATCACCGATTGGGAGTTGTGGGGGTGGAGTGTCCGATGGTACAAAATACCCAGGCAGGTGCTTAGTTTTGGTGGGGCTGATGGTAAGGCCCCACCTCTTAGTGGCACGCTCCAGTCTCAGCAGCAGCGTCTCCAACTCCTCCTCTGACTGAGCAGCTATTACCAAATCATCAGCATACATAACGTGGTTGAGCAATAGGGAGCCATCCCTTGACCGCACCCGGGCATCGATTAGCCTCCCATTATATCTGTACCATATGGAGATTCCCCCGGTACAGCTATTGAAGGCTTCACGAACTACGTGGTCAAAATAGATGTTAAATAATGTGTGAGCCAGAGGACATCCCTGTCGCACCCCAAGGTGTACAGGGAATGGCTCTGACTCCCGGCCACGTAGTTTTACCCGGGCCCGCTCACCATCATGAAGGTCCTTAATGATCGTGAGCAGAGGGTCAGGTACTCCAAAAGCACGAAGAACGACCCAGAGCCCAGGCCTACTGATGGTATCATAGGCCTTGACCAGGTCAATAAAGCAGAGATGTAGGTCTTGTTGGAATTCCCTACACCTCTGCTGTAGCAGACGGACAGAAAAATATGGCATCTGTGCAGGACCGCCCTTTCCTGAAACCGCATTGGGGCTCCGCAAGCCTCTCCTCAGCGTGCCTGGCAAGGCGATGCTGAATAATCCTTGCCAGGACCTTTCCCGGCACACTGAGGAGTGAGATGCCCCTGTAGTTGTTACAGTCTGTGCGGTCCCTCTTCTTAAAAAGGGGGACCACCAGGGCATCCTTCCAATCCTGCGGAACCCGTCCAGTGGTCCAGACTGTTGTTATGATGTCATATAGGGCAGTCTGTGCACAAACGCCACCCTCCCTCAGCATTTCGCTTGGGAGATCATCTCTGCCCGCTGCCTTTCCTGGTCTCAGACTCCGGATCGCCTTCAATACTTCCTCAGCAGATGGAACCTCAGCCAGCCACTCACAGGGGGTGACTTCTTCCAATATTTGAGGCACCGCAGCCTCAGCAGGGTCATCCTCACTTTGTGCCACGATGTTTTCCTGGCTGAGGGATTTTCCCTCCCCCAGGACCTCACAGAAATGTTCAGCAAATCTGCGAACCTGTTCCAGACACACACACACAGTCACACACACACAGACACACACACAGACACACACACAGACACACACACAGACACACACACAGACACACACAGACACAGACACACGTGGTTCTCACACGTGTCGTCACCACCGCCTGTAGTTACACACAGACACTTAAACACACACACCACACACACAGACACACGTGGTACACGCACACGTGGTACAGACATGTGGTAACACACACACGTGGTACACACACGTGGGACACGCACACGTGGTACAGACACACGTGGTACAGACACACGTGGTACAGACACACGTGGTAACACAAACACGTGGTACACACACACACGTGACACACACACGTGACAAACACACGTGGTACACACACGTGGGACACGCACACGTGGTACAGACACACGTGGTACACACACGTGGTAACACAAACACGTGGTACACACACACACACGTGACACACACACACACGTGAAACACACACGTGACACACACACGTGGTACACACACGTGGTACACACACGTGGTAACACACACGTGGTACAGACACACGTGGTACACACACGTGGTAACACAAACACGTGGTACACACACACACGTGACACACACACGTGACAAACACACGTGGTACACACACGTGGGACACGCACGTGGTAACACAAACACGTGGTACACACACACACACGTGACACACACACGTGACACACACACGTGACACACACACGTGACACACACACGTGACACACACACGTGGTACACACACGTGGTACACACACACACTCAGTGGGTACTCAGTGGGGACTCACACTGAGTACTCACCACAGGTGACCACTGAGTACTCACTGAGTACTCACCACAGGTAACTACTGAGTACTCACCACAGGTGACTACTGAGTACTCACCACAGGTAACTACTGAGTACTCACCACAGGTGACTACTGAGTACTCACCACAGGTGACCACTGAGTACTCACTGAGTACTCACCACAGGTAACTACTGAGTACTCACCACAGGTGACTACTGAGTACTCACCACAGGTGACTACTGAGTACTCACCACAGGTGACCACTGAGTACTCACCACAGGTGACTACTGAGTACTCACCACAGGTGACCACTGAGTACTCACCACAGGTAACTACTGAGTACTCACCACAGGTCAGGTGACCACTGAGTACTCACCACAGGTGACTACTGAGTACTCACCACAGGTCCCCACTGAGTACTCACCACAGGTGACTACTGAGTACTCACCACAGGTGACTACTGAGTACTCACCACAGGTGACTACTGAGTCCCACTGAGTACTCACCACAGGTGACCACTGAGTACTCACCACAGGTCCCCACTGAGTACTCACCACAGGTGACTACTGAGTACTCACCACAGGTGACCACTGAGTACTCACCACAGGTGACTACTGAGTACTCACCACTGAGTACTCACTGAGTACTCACCACAGGTGACTACTGAGTACTCACCACTGAGTACTCACTGAGTACTCACCACAGGTGACTACTGAGTACCCACTGAGTACTCACCACAGGTGACCACGTGGTCCACGCAGGTGAAGTCGTAGTGACGGAAGAACGGGTGGCAGTAGCCGGGCAGCTGCTGGGTCTCAGCGTAGCACTCATCATGGGTCTGACAACACCTACACACAACACAGTTAACTAGTTAGTTAATTAGTTAACTAGTTAACTAGTTAACTAGCTGCTGGGTCTCAGCGTAGCACTCATCATGGGTCTGACAACACCTACACACAACACAGTCAACTAGTTAGTTAACTAGTTAACTAGCTAACTAGTTAACTAGTGACTAGTTAACTAGTTAACTTGTTAACTAGCTGCTGGGTCTCAGCGTAGCACTCATCATGGGTCTGACAACACCTACACACAACACACGTAGTTAACTAGTTAGTTAACTAGTTAACTAGCTAACTAGTTAACTAGCTGCTGGGTCTCAGCGTAGCACTCATCATGGGTCTGACAACACCTACACACAACACAGTTAACTAGTTAGTTAACTAGTTAACTAGTTAGTTAACTAGTTAACTAGCTAACTAGTTAACTAGTTAGCTAGCTGATGGGTCTCAGCGTAGCACTCATCATGGGTCTGACAACACCTACACACAACACACGTAGTTAACTAGTTAGTTAACTAGTTAACTAGTTATAACTAGTGATGTTAACTAGTTAACTAGTGTGCTAGCTGCTGGGTCTCAGCGTAGCACTCATCATGGGTCTGACAACACCTACACACAACACACGTAGTTAACTAGTTAGTTAACTAGTTAGCTAGTTAGTTAACTAGTTAACTAGCTAACTAGTTAACTAGTTAGCTAGCTGATGGGTCTCAGTGTAGCACTCATCATGGGTCTGACAACACCTACACACAACACACGTAGTTAACTAGTTAGTTAACTAGTTAGCTAGTTAGTTAACTAGTTAACTAGCTAACTAGTTAACTAGTTAACTAGTTAGCTAGCTGCTGGGTCTCAGCGTAGCACTCATCATGGGTCTGACAACACCTACACACAACACAGTTAACTAGTTAACTAACTAGTTAACTAGTTAACTAGCTGCTGGGTCTCAGCGTAGCACTCATCATGCGCCTGACAACACCTACACACAACACACGTAACTAGTTAGTTAACTAGTTAACTAGTTAGTTAACTAGCTAACTAGATAGTTAACTAGTTAACTAGCTAACTAGCTAACTAGTTAGCTAGCTGATGGGTCTCAGCGTAGCACTCATCATGGGTCTGACAACACCTACACACAACACAGTTAACTAGTTAGTTAACTAGTTAACTAACTAGTTAACTAGTTAACTAGCTGCTGGGTCTCAGCGTAGCACTCATCATGGGTCTGACAACACCTACACACAACACAGTTAACTAGTTAACTAACTAGTTAACTAGTTAACTAGCTGCTGGGTCTCAGCGTAGCACTCATCATGGGTCTGACAACACCTACACACAACACACGTAGTTAACTAGTTAGTTAACTAGTTAGCTAGTTAGTTAACTAGTTAACTAGCTAACTAGTTAACTAGTTAGCTAGCTGATGGGTCTCAGCGTAGCACTCATCATGCGCCTGACAACACCTACACACAACACAGTTAACTAGTTAACTAGCTAACTAGTTAGCTAGTTAGTTAGCTAGTTAACTAGTTAGCTAGTTAGTTAACTAGTTAACTAGCTAACTAGCTAACTAGCTAACTAGTTAACTAGTTAGCTAGTTAGTTAACTAGTTAGCTAGCTGCTGGGTCTCAGCGTAGCACTCATCATGGGTCTGACAACACCTACACACAACACAGTTAACTAGTTAGTTAACTAGTTAACTAGCTAACTAGTTAGTTAACTAGTTAACTAGTTAGCTAGCTGCTGGGTCTCAGCGTAGCACTCATCATGCGCCTGACAACACCTACACACAACACAGTTAACTAGTTAGTTAACTAGTTAACTAGTTAACTAACTAGTTAACTAACTAACTAGTTAACTAGTTAACTAGTTAGCTAGCTGCTGGGTCTCAGCGTAGCACTCATCATGCGCCTGACAACACCTACACACAACACAGTTAACTAGTTAGTTAACTAGTTAACTAGTTAACTAACTAGTTAACTAGCTAACTAGTTAGCTAGTTAACTAGTTAGCTAGCTGCTGGATCTCACCGTAGCACTCATCATGCGCCTGATAACACCTACACACAACACACGTAGTTAGCTAGTTAGCTAGTTAACTAGTTAGATAATTAGTTAACTAGTTAGCTAGTTAACTAGCTAACTATATAACCAGTTAACTAGCTGCTGGGTCTCAACGTAGCACTCATCATGCACCTGACAACAACTACACACATAGATGTAGTTAACTAGTTAACAAGCTAACTAGTTAGCAAGTTAACTTGTTAACTAGTTACCTAGCTAACTAGTTAACTAGTTAACTAGCTGCTGGGTCTCAACGTAGCACTCATCATGCGCATAACAACACCTACACACAACACGTAGTTATCTAGTTAGCTAGTTAACTAGTTAGTTGACTAGTTAACTAGCTAGCTCGTTAGTTCGTTAACACGTTAACTAGCTAACTAGTTAGCTAGTTAACTAGCTAATTAGTTAATTAGTTAGCTAGCTGCTGGGTCTTAGCATAGCACTCATCATGCGCCTGACAAGTTAACTAGCTAACTAGTTAGCAAGTTAACTAGCTAACTAGTTAGCAAGCTAACTAGTTAACTAGCGGCTGGGTCTCAGCGTAGCACTCATCATGCACCTGACAACACCTACACATATAACACGTAGTTAGCTAGTTAACTAGTTAATTAGTTAGTAAGTTAACTAGCTAAATAGTTAGCTAGGTAACTAGTTAACTAGTTAGCTAATTAGCTAGTTAGCTAGTTAACTAGTTAATTAGTTAGTAAGTTAACTAGCTAAATAGTTAGCTAGCTAACTAGATAACTAGCTAACTAGTTAACTAGTTAGCTGGCTGCTGGGTCTCAGCGTAGCACTCAGCATGCGCCTGACAACACCTACACACATAGATCTCGTTAACTAGTTAACTAGCTAACTAGTTAACTAGCTAACTAGTTAGATAGTTAACTAGTTAGCTAGTTAACTAGTTAGCAAGCAGCTGGGTCTCAGCGTAGCACTCATTATGGGCCTGATAACACCTACACACACATAGATCTAGTTAACTAGTTAGCTAGTTAGCTAGTTAAATAGTTAACTAGCTAACTGGTTAGCTAGTTTAACTAGTTATCGAGCTAGTTATCGAGCTAGTTAACTAGTTAGTAAGCTATCTAGTTAGCTAGTTAACTGGTTAGCTAGTTAGTGAGCTAATTTGTGAGCTAGTTAGCTAGCTAACTAGTTAGCTAGTTAGTGAGCTAGTTATATAGTTAGTGAGTTAGCGAGTTAACTAGTTATTGAGCTAGTTAGCTAGTTAACTAGTTAGCTAGTTAGTGAGCTAGGTAGCTAGTTAAATAGTTAGCTAGTTAGTGAGCCAGTGAGCTAATTAACTAGTTAGTGAGCTAGTTAACTAGTTAGTGAGTTGGTTAACTAATTAGTGGGCTAACCAGTTAACTAGCTGACTAGTTAACTGGCTAGTGAGCTAGCTAATTAACTAGTGAGCTAGCTAGTTAGTGAGCTAGTTAGTGAGCTAGCTAGTTAACTAGTGAGCTAGTTGGTGAGCTAGTTAACTAGTTAGCTAGTTAATTGGTTAGTGAGTTAGCGAGTTAACTAGTTATTGAGCTAGTTAGCTAGTTAACTAGTTAGTGAGCTAGTTAACTAGTTAGTGAGCTAGTTAACTAGTTAGCGAGCTAAGTAATTAGCTAGTTGGCTAGTTAACTAGCCAATTAACTGGCGAGCTAGTTAGCTAGTTAACTAGTGAGCTAGTAAGTGAGCTAGTTAGTGGGCTAGCTAGTTAACAAGCAAGCTAGTCAGTGAGCTAGTTAGTTAGCTAGTGAGTAAGGTAGTTAACTAGTTAACTAGCTCACTAACTAGTTAACTAGTTAACTATTTAGTGAGCTAGTTAACTTGCTAGTTAGCTGGTGAGCTTGTTAGCGAGCTAGTCAACTAGTTAGTGAGCTAGTTAGTTAACTAGTTAGCTAGTTTATGAGCTAGTTAGGTGACTAGTGAGCTAGCCAGTTAACTAGCCATCTAGTTAACTATTTAGTGAGCTAGTTAGTCAGCTAGTTGGTGAGCTAGTTAGTGAACTATTGAGCTAGTTGGTGAGCTCGTTATCTAGTTAACTAGTTAGTGAGCTAGTTAACTAACTGGTTAACTAGCTAGTTAACTTGTTAACTAGATAACTAGCTAGTTAGTGAGCTAGTTAGTGAGCTGGTTAACTAGTGAGCTAGTTTGTGAGCTAGTTGGTGAGCTAGTTATCTAGTTAGCGAGCTAGTTAGTGAGCTAGTTGGTGAGCTAGTTGGTGAGCTAGTTAACTAGTGAGCTAGTTGGTGAGCTAGTTAACTAGTGAGCTAGTTGGTGAGCTAGTTAACTAGTGAGCTAGTTGGTGAGCTAGTTGGTGAACTAGTTAACTAGTTAGTGAGCTAGTTAACTAGTGAGCTAGTTGGTGAGCTAGTTGGTGAGCTAGTTATCTAGTTAGCGAGCTAGTTAGTGAGCTAGTTAGTGAGCTAGTTGGTGAGCTAGTTGGTGAGCTAGTTAACTAGTGAGCTAGTTGGTGAGCTAGTTAACTAGTGAGCTAGTTGTGAGCTAGTTAACTAGTGAGCTAGTTGGTGAGCTAGTTGGTGAACTAGTTAACTAGTTAGTGAGCTAGTTAACTAGTGAGCTGGTTGGTGAGCTAGTTGGTTAACTAACCTGTCGAGCTCATCGAGGGGCTGCCCTGAGCCGCCCAGTCCACAATAGCAGCCGTAGCGAGTGAAGCTGAACAGGGGCCACGAGTTGGGCATCACGCACAGCAGCATCTGGTGGAACTGGAGGAGCGATCGGGGCAACGGGGGGCGTCCTGGGGGGGCACGGGGGGGTGGGATCGATACGATTGTCAATATCTTGTGCTGATTGGTCGACGGTGCCGAGGGCGACGTGACGTCACCGGAGGCGGGGTTCGTCCGTGACAGTCACAGGAGGCGTGGTTCGTCCGTGACGTCACTGGAGGCGTGGTTCGTCCGTGACGTCACTAGAGGCGGGGTTTGTCCGTGACAGTCACTGGAGGCGTGGTTCGTCCGTGACGTCACTGGAGGCGTGGTTCGTCCGTGACAGTCACTGGAGGCGTGGTTCGTCCGTGACGTCACTGGAGGCGGGGTTCGTCCGTGACGTCACTGGAGGCGTGGTTCGTCCGTGACAGTCACTGGAGGCGTGGTTCGGCCGTGACGTCACTGGAGGCGTGGTTCGTCCGTGACGTCACTGGAGGCGTGGTTCGTCCGTGACGTCACTGGAGGCGTGGTTCGTCCGTGACAGTCACTGGAGGCGTGGTTCGTCCGTGACAGTCACAGGAGGCGTGGTTCGTCCGTGACGTCACTGGAGGCAGGGTTCGTCCGTGACGTCACTGGAGGCGGGGTTCGTCCGTGACAGTCACTGGAGGCGTGGTTCGCCCGTGACGTCACTGGAGGCGTGGTTCGTCCGTGACAGTGACTGGAGGCGTGGTTCGTCCGTGACGTCACTGGAGGCGTGGTTCGTCCGTGACGTCACTGGAGACGTGGTTCGTCCGTGACGTCACTGGAGGCGTGGTTCGTCCGTGACGTCACTAGAGGCGTGGTTTGTCCGTGACGTCACTGGAGGCGGGTGCCCACGTGGTGGTGGTGGTGGTGGGTGGGGGTGAGGGGTCGGCACCTCCATTGACGCTTGGGGCGGACGCCGAGAGGAGGCCCAGGACGCCTGGGGGGCGGGGGGGGGGTAGGGGGGTGAGGGGGGTGAGGGGGGGGGTCACAGAGGACAGACCCTGCAGGTGACACGTGTTGTACTGCTGCTGTGCCAGGCTAGGTGCACCAGGAGGAGGTCACGGGGCAGACCCTGCAGGTGACACGTGTTGTACTGCTGCTGTGCCAGGCTAGGTGCACCAGGAGGAGGTCACGGGGCAGACCCTGCAGGTGACACGTGTTGTACTGCTGCTGTGCCAGGCTAGGTGCATGAGGAGGAGGTCACGTGACAGACCCTGCAGGTGACACGTGTTGTACTGCTGCTGTGCCAGGCTAGGTGCACCAGGAGGAGGTCACGGGGCAGACCCTGCAGGTGACACGTGTTGTACTGCTGCTGTGCCAGGCTAGGTGCATGAGGAGGAGGTCACGTGACAGACCCTGCAGGTGACACGTGTTGTACTGCTGCTGTGCCAGGCTAGGTGCACCAGGAGGAGGTCACGGGGCAGACCCTGCAGGTGACACGTGTTGTACTGCTGCTGTGCCAGGCTAGGTGCACGAGGTCACGTGACAGACCCTGCAGGTGCCACGTGTTGTACTGCTGCTGTACCAGGCTAGGTGCACCAGGAGGAGGTCACGTGACAGACCCTGCAGGTGCCACGTGTTGTACTGCTGCTGTGCCAGGCTAGGTGCACGAGGTCACGTGACAGACCCTGCAGGTGCCACGTGTTGTACTGCTGCTGTGCCAGGCTAGGTGCACGAGGTCACGTGACAGACCCTGCAGGTGCCACGGGTTGTACTGCTGCTGTGCCAGGCTAGGTGCACGAGGTCACGTGACAGACCCTGCAGGTGCCACGTGTTGTACTGCTGCTGTGCCAGGCTAGGTGCACGAGGTCACGTGACAGACCCTGCAGGTGCCACGTGTTGTACTGCTGCTGTGCCAGGCTAGGTGCACGAGGTCACGTGACAGACCCTGCAGGTGCCACGTGTTGTACTGCTGCTGTGCCAGGCTAGGTGCACGAGGTCACGTGACAGACCCTGCAGGTGCCACGTGTTGTACTGCTGCTGTGCCAGGCTAGGTGCACGAGGTCACGTGACAGACCCTGCAGGTGCCACGTGTTGTACTGCTGCTGTGCCAGGCTAGGTGCACGAGGTCACGTGACAGACCCTGCAGGTGCCACGTGTTGTACTGCTGCTGTGCCAGGCTAGGTGCACGAGGTCACGTGACAGACCCTGCAGGTGCCACGTGTTGTACTGCTGCTGTGCCAGGCTAGGTGCACCAGGAGGAGGTCATGGGGCAGACCCTGCAGGTGCCACGTGTTGTACTGCTGCTGTGCCAGGCTAGGTGCACGAGGAGGTCACGGGGCAGACCCTGCAGGTGCCACGTGTTGTAATGCTGTGCCAGGCTAGGTGCACCAGGAGGAGGTCACTGGACAGACCCTGCAGGTGCCACGTGTTGTACTGATGTGCCAGGCTAGGTGCACGAGGTCACGGGGCAGACCCTGCAGGTGACACGTGTTGTACTGCTGTACCAGGCTAGGTGCACCAGGAGGAGGTCACGGGGCAGACCCTGCAGGTGACACGTGTTGTACTGCTGCTGTGCCAGGCTAGGTGCACGAGGTCACGGGGCAGACCCTGCAGGTGACACGTGTTGTACTGCTGCTGTGCCAGGCTAGGTGCACGAGGAGGAGGTCACGGGGCAGACCCTGCAGGTGCCACGTGTTGTACTGCTGCTGTGCCAGGCTAGGTGCACGAGGTCACGGGACAGACCCTGCAGGTGCCACGTGTTGTACTGCTGCTGTGCCAGGCTAGGTGCACCAGGAGGAGGTCACGTGACAGACCCTGCAGGTGCCACGTGTTGTACTACTGCTGTGCCAGGCTAGGTGCGCGAGTCGACTGTTCAACGCAACAAGCGAAACGTGAATGTGAAAGTTGAACACTCACCTAGCAGGGAGAGCCATGGGGAAAGACGAGACATCGTGGTGATGGTGGTGGTGATGATGGTGCTGATGATGCCACATGGCTGTGAATCGCGGAATTTATACATCACCATCACCACACCCACTCCCACAAAACACCCACTCCCACCATCATCACCACACCCACCATCACCACCACACCCACCATCACCACACCCACCATCACCACACCCACCATCAACACCCCCACCATCAGTATCACCACCATCACCACACCCACCATCATCACCACAATCAACACCACCACTCCCACCATCACCACCACCACCATCACCACACCCACCATCACCATCACCACTCCCACCATCACCACCACACCCACCATCACCACACCCACCATCAACACCCCCACCATAACCATCACCCCCACCATCACCACCACCCCCAACACCCCCACCATCATTATCACCACCATCACCACACCCACCATCAACACCACCACCATAACCATCACCCCCACCATCACCAGACCCACCATCACCACCATCACCATCACCACCACCATCAGTATCACCACCATCACCACCCACACCATCACCACCACCATCACCACACCCACCACCACCATCACCCCCAACACCCACACCATCACTATCACCACCATCACCACACCCACCATCAAAACCACCATCAACACCACCACTCCCACCATTACCACCACCACCATCACCACACCCACCATCACCACCACCCCCAACGCCCCAACCATCACCACACCCACCATAACCACACCCACCACCATCACCACACCCACCATCATCACCACACCCACCATCACCAACCACCACCATCACCCCCACCATCAGTATCACCACCAACACCACACCCACCATCACCACCCCCACCATAACCATCATCCCCACCATCACCATCATCCCCACCATCACCACCCCCACCATCACCATCACCACACCCACCATCAACACCAGCATCAACACCACCAATCCCACCACCACCATCACCACGACCACCATCACCACGACCACCATCACCACCCCCAGCATCACCACACCCACCACCATCACCCCCACCATCACCACCCCCACCATCACCATCACCACCATCACCACCATCACCACCACCATCACCACACCCACCATCACCACCATCACCACCATCACCACACCCACCATCACCACCACTCCCACCATCACCATCACCCCCACCACCATCACGACCACCACCCCCACCATCACCACCCCCACCATCACCACCACCCCCAACATCACCCCCATCACACTCACCACCCCATCACCACCACCGAAACAAAGACAAAGATCCCCCAGGTCGCCTCTAGCAGGCTGTAGGGGCAAGTGCTGTTAGTAGCGAGTAGCAGCACCTACACACACAGACAAAGATCCCCCAGGTAGCCTCTAGCAGGCTGTAGGGGCAAGTGCTGTTAGTAGCGAGTAGCAACACCTACACACACACAAAGATCCCCCAGGTAGCCTCTAGCAGGCTGTAGGGGTAAGTGCTGTTAGTAGCGAGTAGCAACACCTACACACACAAAGATCCCCCAGGTAGCCTCTAGCAGGGCTGTAGGGGCAAGTGCCGTTAGTAGCGAGTAGCAGCACCTACACACACAGACAGAGATCCCCCAGGTAGCCTCTGGCAGGCTGTAGGGGCAAGTGCTGTTAGTAGCGAGTAGCAGCACCTACACACACACACAAAGATCCCCCAGGTCGCCTCTAGCAGGCTGTAGGGGCAAGTGCTGTTAGTAGCGAGTAGCAGCACCTACACACACAGACACAGATCCCCCAGGTAGCCTCTAGCAGGCTGTAGGGGCAAGTGCTGTAGTTATTAGCGAGTAGCAACACCTACACACAGACAAAGATCCCCCAGGTAGCCTCTAGCAGGCTGTAGGGGCAAGTGCTGTTAGTAGCGAGTAGCAACACCTACACGCACACAAAGATCCCCCAGGTAGCCTCTAGCAGGCTGTAGGGGCAAGTGCTGTTAGTAGCGAGTAGCAGCACCTACACACACACAGACAAAGATCCACCAGGTAGCCTCTAGCAGGGCTGTAGGGGCAAGTGCTGTTAGTAGCGAAGCACCTACACACACACAGACAAAGATCCACCAGGTAGCCTCTAGCAGGATGTAGGGGCAAGTGCTGTGAGTAGTCAGTAGCAGGGCCGATGTTCGCTACTTACCGCTGCCAGGGTAGTGGTAGTGGTGAGTGGTAGTGGTGAGTGCTAGTGGTGAGTGGTAGTGGTGAATGGTAGTGGTGGTGGTGAGTGCTAGTGGTGAGTGGTAGTGGTGAGTGGTGAGTGGTAGTGGTGAGTGGTAGTGGTAGTGGTGAGTGCTAGTGGTGAGTGGTAGTGGTGAGTGCTAGTGGTGAGTGGTAGTGGTGAGTGGTGAGTGGTAGTGGTGAGTGGTAGTGGTGAGTGGTAGTGGTGAGTGGTAGTGGTAGTGGTGAGTGGCAGTGGTGAGTGGTAGTGGTGAGTGGTAGTGGTAGTGGTGAGTGGTAGTGGTGAGTGGCAGTGGTGAGTGGTAGTGGTGAGTGGTGTGTGGTAGTGGTGAGTGGCAGTGGTGAGTGGTAGTGGTGAGTGGCAGTGGTGAGTGGTAGTGGTGAGTGGTAGTGGTGAGTGGTAGTGGTGAGTGGTGAGTGGTAGTGTTGAGTGGTGAGTGGTAGTGGTGAGTGGTAGTGGTGAGTGGTAGTGGTGAGTGGTGAGTGGTAGTGATGAGTGGTGAGTGGTAGTGGTGAGTGGAAGTTGTAGTGGTGAGTGGTAGTGGTGAGTGGTAGTGGTGAGCGGTGGTGAGTGGTGGTGAGTGGTAGTGGTGAGTGGTGAGTGGTAGTGGTGAGTGGTAGTGGTGAGTGGTAGTGGTGAGTGGTGAGTGGTAGTGTGAGTGGTAGTGGTGAGTGGTAGTGGTGAGTGGTAGTGGTGAGTGGTGAGTGGTAGTGGTGAGTGGCAGTGGTGAGTGGTGAGTGGTAGTGGTGAGTGGTAGTGGTGAGTGGTAGTGGTGAGTGGTAGTGGTGAGTGGTAGTGGTGAGTGGTGAGTGGTAGTGTGAGTGGTAGTGGTGAGTGGTAGTGGTGAGTGGTGAGTGGTGAGTGGTAGTGGTGAGTGGCAGTGGTGAGTGGTGAGTGGTAGTGGTGAGTGGTAGTGGTGAGTGGTAGTGGTGAGTGGTAGTGGTGAGTGGTAGGGGTGAGTGGTGAGTGGTAGTGGTGAGTGGTAGTGGTGAGTGGTAGTGGTATTGGTGAGTGGTGGTGGTGAGTGGTAGTGAGTGGTGGTGAGTGGTGGTGAGTGGTAGTGGTGAGTGGTGAGTGGTAGTGGTGAGTAGTAGTGGTGAGTGGTAGTGGTGAGTGGCAGTGGTGAGTGGTAATGGTGAGTGGTAGTTGTGAGTGGTAGTGGTAGTGGTGAGTGGTAGTGGTGAGTGGTAGTGGTGAGTGGTAGTGGTGAGTGGTGAGTGGTGAGTGGTAGTGGTGAGTGGTAGTGGTGAGTGGCAGTGGTGAGTGGTAGTGTGAGTGGTAGTGGTGAGTGGCAGTGGTGAGTGGTGAGTGGTAGTGGTGAGTGGTAGTGGTGAGTGGTGAGTGGTAGTGGTGAGTGGTGAGTGGTAGTGGTGAGTGGTAGTGGTGAGTGGTAGTGGTGAGTGTTAGTGGTGAGTGGTGAGTGGTAGTGGTGAGTGGTAGTGGTGAGTGGTGAGTGGTAGAGGTGAGTGGTAGTAGTGAGTGGTGAGTGGTAGTGGTAGTGGTGAGTGGTAGTGGTGAGTGGTAGTTGTGAGTGGTAGTGGTAGTTTTGAGTGTTAGTGGTGAGTGGTAGTGGTGAGTGGTGAGTGGTAGTGGTGAGTGGTAGTGGTGAGTGGTAGTGGTATTGGTGAGTGGTGAGTGGTAGTGAGTGGTGGTGAGGGGTGGTGAGTGGTAGTGGTGAGTGGTGAGTGGTAGTGGTGAGTGATAGTGGTGAGTGGTAGTGGTGAGTGGTAGTGAGTGGTGGTGAGTGGTAGTGGTGAGTGGTAGTGATAGTGGTGAGTGGTAGTGGTGAGTGGTAGTGGTGAGTGGTAGTGGTATTGGTGAGTGGTAGTAGTGAGTGGTAGTGGTATTGGTGAGTGGTAGTGGTGAGTGGTAGTGGTGAGTGGTAGTGGTATTGGTGAGTGGTAGTAATGAGTGATAGTGGTATTGGTGAGTGGTAGTGGTGAGTGGTGAGTGGTAGTGGTGAGTGGTAGTGGTATTGGTGAGTGGTAGTAGTGAGTGGTAGTGGTATTGGTGAGTGGTAGTGGTGAGTGGTAGTGGTGAGTGGGGATTGGAGGTGGTGAGTGGTGAGTGGTAGTGGTAGTGGTGAGTGGTAGTGGTGATGATGAGTGGTAGTGGTGAGTGGTAGTGGTGAGTGGTAGTGAGTGGTGGTGAGTGGTGTCGAGTTGATGGTGGTGATGGTGGTGATGACCACCATCACCACCATTATCATCACCACCATCACCACCATCACCACCATCATCACCATCACCACCATCACCACCATCATCACCACCATCACCACCATCACCACCATTATCACCATCACCACCACCATCACCATCATCACCACCATCACTACCATCATCACTACCATCATCACCACCATCATCACCATCACCACCACCATCAACACCATCACCACCACCATCACTATCACCATCACCACCATCACCACCACAATCAACATCACCACCACCATCCCCTCCACCACAATCATCATCAACATCACCACCACCATCATCACCATCACCACCATCACCATCACCACCACCATCATCATCACCACCACCACCACAATCATCATCAACATCACCACCACCATCCCCTCCACCACAATCATCATCAACATCACCACCATCATCACCACCATCACCACCATCATCACCACCACCACAATCATCATCAATATCACCACCACCATCATCACCATCACCACCATCACCATCACCACCATCTTCATCACCATCACCACCACCATCATCATCACCACCATCACCATCACCACCATCTTCATCAACATCACCACCACAATCACCACCATTACCACCATCACCACCATCACCACCACAATCATCATCAATATCACCACCATCATCACCACCATCACCACTATCAGCACCACCACAATCATCATCAATATCACCACCACCATCA